CTTAAAAAGAAAAAAACTGAAAGAAAATACATGGGAGAGAAACCATATAGTGTAAGGAATGTGGTATGAGAAAGTTTTTACTTTTCCCCCCTGTACTTGCCAAGATGTAAAGATTCATGCATATGGGAAAGCCTTCACCTATTACTGCTGCTAAATATGGGAGAAGTCATAATTCTGAAAAATTATGTATGTAGGGGACATGGAAACGGCTACAAATCTTTTGAAATTCTTGGAAAATATGTGAAATGTTGCACTGAATTGACCCTGCTGCTGCTGTTAGGTGCCATCGAGTCTCATTCAACTCATAGCAACCCTGTGTACAACAGAACTAAATACTGTCCAGTCCTGTATATCCTCACAATCATTGCTATGTTTGAGCTCCTTGTTGGAGCCACTATGTCAGTCCATCTCCTTGAGGATGATCCTCTTTTTCTCTAACCTTCTACTTTACCAGGCATGATGTCCTTCTCCAGGGACTCGTCCCTCCTGATAACGTATCAAAGAATGTGAAGTGAAGTCTCATCATCCTCACTTCTAAGGAGGATCCTGGCTGTGCTTCTTCCAAGATAGATTTACTCATTCTGGCAGTGCATGGTATATTTAATATTCTTAGCTGACACCATAATTCAAAGGCATCAATTCTTCTTTTTTTTAAATTTTTATTGTGATTTGGGTGGAACTTTACAGAAGAATTTATTTTCCATACAACAGTTCATACACATTTTTGTCTCATGACATTCACTGTAATTTCCCACAATGTAATGACTCTCTTTCCACTTCCTCCTCATAGCTGCCTTTTCCCTGTGTTCTTCCCTCGCATGCACTGCTGCTTCCTGAGCCATCTCTCTGTGTATGCACTGCCCTTTTGTTCTCTCCTGATTGATATTTCCAAGAGTGTATCTACTGGATGTAGGGCAGCTAGGGGCCATATTCTCAGGGGTTTTGCTAAGCTCTACCAAACCAGCAAACCTGCCTGTTTTTTTTTTTTTTTTCTTTTTTAATAATTTTGAGTTTTGTTCTACATTGTTCTCTCACTCTGTTCAGGATCTCCTATACAGATCCCCCTCCGAGTGGTTGAGAGTGGTAGCTGGGCACCAGCTAGTTCTTCTGGTCTTGTGGTCATATAGGCTGAGAATCTCATGATCTACTAGTCCCTTGGACTAATTGTTTCCATACATGTTTGGTTTTCTTCATTCTTCTTTGCTCTGGATGAAGGAGAGCCATCATTGCATCTAGATGGCTGCTTGCAACCTTTTAAGATCCCAGTCACTA